CAGTTAGAATGTAAAATCAAATCGAAACTCAAGACCATTAAAAACAGAGAGTTTTGAAAAGTTGAGCCAAATACGACTAAGGCTATAAACCCGACCCAATTGGAAATATCTTTCATCTCCATCTGTAGGAAGTAAACGTACTTTAAATGTGTTTGATCTGGTGCAAAATAAAAATATATTCGTTAACATAAAAATGGCTTCATTAAAACATTAAGGTGGTTATCATCTTACTTATTTTCCAGATGTAATTTTAATTGTAATTGTAAAATAACGGTGAGATAGTTGAAAGTGACTTATCATCAATCGGAAATGTTGGTCTCACTAAATGTCATACCGAAGTAGTTGAATATGAAAATAAGGAGATGTGGTATAAAAAAGTTAAAAGACGTTAATAAAATTATATACATGATTTTTTTTATTATTTGTTATCGGCTTTGAACTAGCTGTCAGTAGCAGCGAGTAGTCTCAGACCTGTACTTATAGTCTTTTTTGTTGTTAGGGATGAAGGATGGATATATACCCTGCCAATTCCTGTCTGTTGTTTTGTTTGATGTTTTTCTTTGTATCGATCTGATGCTGATGAGTTAATCCTTTTTCAACTGATTTTTATAGTTTGTTTTTATGTTGTGCTATTACACCACTGTCCCATGTTAGGGACACAAACATGTTTAACACCGCCACTTGTTTTATGTGCCTTCCCAAGCTAAGTCAGGAGCCTGTAGTTCAGTGGTTGTCGTTGGTTCATGTCTGTCATATTTGTTTTTCGTAAATTGTTTTGTTATAAATAAGGTTGTTAGTTTTCTCAATTGAATTGTTTCGTATTTTTTATGTCGGGCCTTTTTTTAGCCGGCTTTACGGTATGGGTTTTTTCATTGTTGAAGGCCGTATGGTTGACTATAATTGCTTACATCAACTTTATATGAACTTTGGTGGATAGTTGTCTCATTGACAATCATACCACATCTCCTTATTTTTATAATGATGATTCCCAAGTAATGATATATTGTTTCTTTTGTATTTGGGAGTTTGTATAAGTTCTTCTGTAGTTATTCATAGTTTCAAGTATATTTTAATGAGTAATTAACGTACGTTTTACTTTTGGTTATTAATTGTATTTCAAACGTCCAATATGGCGCAACTTTGTCATGAATTGTTCAAAACTTTACCGTTTGGTTAATATTCTAAGCGTGTACCCGAAAGTGTACACTTTTGAGTTCTTAACTGGAAGAATTTATATTTCTCGATTGAGTAAGTCACAACAGTTTATTAGAATAAGAACTTTGAATCGAGGACTCCTATATATTCTGTCAGCGTTTGGCGTTATGTCTTGATTCCTGCTTAGAATTTCACTTTTAGTAAATTTTGTATATATACCGGAGTAAAATCAAACTCATCAGTCTTTGCTGTGTTTACATTTTGGCTTACAGCAAGGATCCCAGGAATTTCTAGACGTACGAATTAACTCATTTAGCTGTTTGCCTCATATCTTAAAAAAATAATCGTCGTAGTTAACAGGTAATAGGCTGCACAGATAGTTGTTAGCGTCGCATCATTTGGATTTATCTACATTGTAGGATGAAGGATATTCCCGTTTTGACTGTACAAAAATACATAAAGGTTATTTTAGTAGCTACTCCCTTTATGTTAACTATATAGTTGTTTAGGAAAAAACATATGAACATTGCACATGTATGTTAAGATATCATCTGTTGCAGAATTATCATTGAAGTTTAATAAACATATAATTTTCTACTATGGATTATTTATGCACGCACTATTGCTGAGAGAATAGTTGGTCGTAGTTATTTATTCCTCGTAGTTACATGTTTGATGAGTTTATTCGTATTTCTTTGTGACTAGAGAAGACTTAACTAGAAGCAAGAAATTTGACCTGGTTTATAACGTAATAAAAACCGGTAGAAGTTTTTACATCGTTTTATTGACCTTATCATTCTGATGGCATATCACACATGTACAACATGTCTATCAAACGTGGGGCCTCCGTGGCCGAGTGGTCTAATTAGTCGAACTACTGTATCACTAGCCAGTCAACACTGAGGTTGTGAGTTCGAATCCCGCACGCGGCAGGTGCACTCGACTCCAATCTTAATTGACTAGGATTGTCAGTTTTCCTCACGAAGGTCGGTGGTTCTCTTCGGGCACTCCCGTTTCCTTCATCAATAAAAACCGAGCGCCACAAAATAACACAATAGTGTTGAAAGTGGCGTTAAACACCAATCGATCAATCAATCAATCAATCAATCTCTCAGAAGTTAATACACGTCTTGTCATTTATTTGTGTGCATAAGAGACTGATGAATAAAGACTTTGTTGAGTGTAGATATAACAAAAGATGCAAAAACATAATTAAATAACGAAAAATAAACGCTGACGTACCTGGTTGCAGACCTCATCAATTTGATGCGATCTTTTTTTCAAAATAATTTTAATTTTCTTTTCTTAGACATTTCAGTCTGTTATATATATATATATATATATATATAAGTCTGAAAATTACACCCAACAGTGTTAGAATTAGACTTTTATGCTGACAAATTTTTGTCCCTCAACGGGGTTCGAACTCACACCTTTGATACACTACAGCACCAATCGCTTAGCCTCATGTCCAGCGCTCTAGACCACACGACCACATCCGCTATATAAAAAATATAACTTCAATAGTCGTAGTGTTACCTTGTCACGTAAGGCGAATCTAGAGATAGACATAAGACATGTGTTTTAAGCGTGTGAAGATGTTATATTAATATTTAATACACAATGTATTTGTTATTTGTCAGCAATCTAACTCAACAATTTTTATATACCGTATGGGATAATGATTCAATTCATTATACAGTCACTAGAAATAAGTATATCATACAAACAAGTCTAAGCAAGTGACAACCATACAATATATATGCCCACTGGATCTCAGTGTGTTTGAGACGCAGGGTTAATACAAATATTTATATAAGTCTGAAAATTACACCCAACAGTGTTAGAATTAGACTTTTATGCTGACAAATTTTTGTCCCTCAACGGGGTTCGAACTCACACCTTTGATACACTACAGCACCAATCGCTTAGCCTCATGTCCAGCGCTCTAGACCACACGACCACATCCGCTATATAAAAAATATAACTTCAATAGTCGTAGTGTTACCTTGTCACGTAAGGCGAATCTAGAGATAGACATAAGACATGTGTTTTAATATATATATATATATATTCTACCACTGCATCAAGTGTGATACGATATTTATCTACTCGAGACAGTTAAATTTTCAAATTTAAAACGGGAGGCTCGCTAGTGTTTTAAATATTTAGAATTTAACTGTCTGTCGAGAGAGGATACATATCGTGTTGAACGAGATTTGATGGTGGAATCTGTTTCACGTATGATTTTAGACGATATACAGACAATCTTTATCCTTCTTTTCGAATGATCTGCAAAAAGATGTGTTCTTTCTATGTGACGTATGGTCGCCTTTTTATTGACGTCACGATAGAAAATTCAGAGGCAAGCATGAAAATTTGACGTCATTATCGAATTTTGACCAATGAAGAACTAAGATCAAACTAACCACACATTGATTAGATAAAAATAATCAACAGGTCAAGAAAAGAATAAATCGGATAAGAATTAGACAAACTTGGTTTAAATGTCCTTCTCATTTATTTACTTGACGCTTTGCAATTTATAATATTTTGTAATTATTCATATTCATTTGATACTTTTATTTCAGATTAAAAAGCAAGTGAATAAATAATACAATCTAAAAAGGTTAAAAAAAGAAAGAAGAAAAACTATTAGTATCAATTCAAAAACTTTTTTATAATCCCTGAAATATGCACTTAGTTTAACAACATGATTGACTTTATATACAAATGTTTGCAGTTTTGATTCGCTGTTCATCATTATATATCTTTCATTTTATTGGCAGTTTTTTATTTGAACATATACATGAATCTTATAAGTTCACCATTATGTAATTCCTTTTTTGTTTTGTTTGATAGAATGATAAAGTCTGGAAATAGATGAAACCATGTCAAGGTTAATGTATGGTAAGGTGTTGCCATGGTACAGCCCTTGGATGGTGTAAACTTCCCAAAAACAACGTGTATGGTGTAATGGTGTATGGCATATGGTGCAATGGTAGAAGGTGTATGGTGTATGGTGTAAGGGGAATTGTGTAATGGTGTAACGTGCGATCGGGAATGGTGTGAATGAATGATGTACGCGTATAAAACTATGCAAAATATTGATAAGAACTTATTTTTAATTTTATACATTAATTTACAAAATTGTGATCAAAATTCGTTTTTTAAAATAAATAAATAATTTTGTAGTCGCACGCTTTCTTTGAAATTAAATTGTATTATGGTGTAATGTGTAAGGTGTATGGTGCAAAGGTGTAACGTGTATGGTGTAATGGTGTATGGTGAATGGTGTAATGGTGTATGGTGTTAGTGGGAAGTTTACACCATCCAAGGACTGTATAGATAGCAATTCAAGCTTATTTTATATGATGACTGTTGTCATTGGTTACTTGAAAAATTTTCGTAGAATAATTTGGATATCATATTGGGGAAAGGTTTTGATTCCAGCTTGAATGCCTATTAATGTCTGAGATAAATGAAATAGAAACTTAATAACAAGGCTGTTTGCTCATTTTCATATGGCATTTCATACAATGCCACTTTAATGGAAAAGAAAGAATATGGGGTAACCATCCATGACACAAATTCAGTTTATGCACCCCATAAAACACAAAAAGCAGAAGAACAGCGCTTCTATTGCTGTTTTTCATCTCAAAGTCACAGTTAGGACTTCAATACATATGTAAATGAACAAATATTAAGATCCAATTTGCGAAATAAATCAAGCATTAAAATCATATGTAGATATATATATATATTATTGTAATGAACTTGAACGTGGAAATGTTGATAAACATACAAATTAATTTTTGGAAGCAGTTAAAAGAAACAAAAGGACATCGTTATTAACTTTTTATTGGCTTTGTAGCAACAAGAATTCCCATTTTAATTGGTCTTAGTATACCACGTGGTTGTATTCGGAACTAACATAGAGTTGCATTTATCTTGGGTACAACAAAAATGACATGAAAAGGCATACGGATTTTTCACTACTCCATAGCGTTTACAATAATCTAGATCGGCCGACTCTGTTATCCATTTCTTTTCACATGTAGCTAAATCAACGCATCTGAAAAGAATATATATAATGTCTTGAACACTAGAATTTATAACTGTTTAAAACAATGCCCGCACGTCCGATATATTCATGTACAATAATCGAACACCTAAAGCAATTTCATCAGTATATATTGATAAAGTACACTATTAGTAGAAATAAATAAATTGTTAACAACAATGTTTAATACCTGAATACTTGCATTTAAAACCATCCTGGAAATGCTATAAATTTGCTGAATATATGCAAGAAATTTTTTATCATTTTTTAAAGTGGTTATGAGGTCTTCCAACTTAATCTTCTGGATGTGTACTGATTATTTTAAGTCTGTGCAACACGATTTTTTAGAAGTTGTAATTGACTTTTAACTAGCTTCTAGTAACCGCGAGTATTCTTTGATCGCTGCTTTATGTCTTAAGTCTTTTTGTTAGTTGTCTTTTCAGCTTTTTATTGATGTTATTAATGAAGCCGTTTTAGATTGTGTTTTTTTAATAGTTTGCTCTTATGTTGTGCTGTTACACTACTAACCCACTGACACAACTGACCAATATTATATGTAGGATTGTGCGCTCGGTAACATGTTTAACACCGCCACATTCTGTAAGTGTCTGTCCAAAATCATTAGCCTTTAATTCAGTGGTTATCCAAGACAAAATAATCATTGAGAAACGTATGAGTACACACCTTTTGAAAACATCAACATTGCCTTGGTCATCTCGAACGATATCTGTCATGCAGTAGTTTTCTCCAGTTTTACAGGTTTGTGATAAATCTCTTCCAATTTGCCTACTGCTGCATGGAACTGGTAAAGACGTATCTCCACATATATGACAAGTCCTTGGACCTAAATTGATGACATATTGTGACATATATTTGAATATCACTATTCATCATACCCAATATCACCAACAAATGTACAATATGTAATTAAACTTAGCAAAACTATTCCCCAGAAAATTCTTTGTGCCTTAAATTTAAGGAAGGAACGTTGTTTTATCTTTTGAATAGCAAGTATCCTTTGTCTGTTGGACAGAATGATATGATACCAATGTTTCATGTTATACTTTTACCTACTATTTGAATCTGGAGTTCGTTCAGGTTTGTTGCATTACTAGTATTTAAACAATCTAAATAACAATACAGTGGTATGGTACATTATACACATTTGTTTTATTAAATATATGTTAATAAACGTCATACATATGAGAAATATTCCAGCTTGGAAGCTGTAAGAGTCTTTGGATGATATGTGCATCATGTTGACACTGTAGTGACCATCGGCGCAATCGTGAATTAATGTGTTGTTCCGTCACTCGTTGAACATTTTTCGATATTTGAAATATTTGATTAGTTATTCTTTAATTATTCCCATATGAAAAAGATGTAAATTATACCTTGTACCTTACCAGAGAATAAGATAATGAAATTGCAAAGCAATTTATTTTGGTTTATGAAAGACCGTGAAATTGTACATTAAGTTTAACAATTAGTTTCAGGAGTTGGTTGACCGAATCGATTTGTCTTATCTATAATTCTAGCAAATGTGTCCTATTCCCGATTGTGACATTTTGACTGAGTGAGCTGTCACATGATGGGTGATGCATTTATAACAGTTTATGCTAAAATGTCAACGCATCCGGTCTTGCTACCTTTTGGAGTTCATCATCCGAGGTTTTGTTTGTTACCTTAATTTGTATCTTTTCAATCGATTGATGAGATTTGAATTAAGGCGACGCTATCTTAACGGCGTTCTAATCACGTAATTCGATTGGGTAGAGACAAATCAAGGTAACAAACAAAGTTCAAGGGAATCTACTATACTAGTATTTTAAATAGAGCGAGACCGGTTGCGTCGACAGGGTAAGTGTATCCTGTTATCATGATCATACGTAAACTACTGTTGCCATAACTTAAAGTATAAATACATATTGATAGGGCAAATATTCTTCAACCAACATAATAAAGATAGTTTAACAACAATTACCTGTCATTGTGGTAGTTGCAGAAGTTGTTGTCGTGGTAGGAGATGTAGTAGGAGTTGTGGTAGGAGTTGTTGTAGGTGTTGTAGTAAGAGTGGTCGTGGTAGGAGTTGTGGAAGGAGTTTTAGTAGGAATTGTGGTAGAAGTTGTCGTGGTAGGAGTTGTGGTAGGAGTTGTCGTGGAAGGAGTTGTGGAAGGAGTTGTAGTGGAAGGAGTAGTGGTAAGAGTTGTGGTAGGAGTTGTGGTAGGAGTTGTGGTAGGAGTTGTTGTAGTCGTTGTTGTAGTCGTTGTTGTGGTTGTTTCTACATGTTGGAAGAAAGAAACCATAAAAACAGTACGGTTATTATGATTATATTATCTAAACAAATATTGTTTTGATAATTCATATGAAAAAGAATGAAATCTTTAATCATTTGAACACTAAAGTAATTGCCAACATTAATGTCTTTATTACATTTCAATTTTAATGTTTAAATATTAGTAAGCAGCTACAAGATTTTTGTTTAATTTACAATCAATAAATACAATTAAGGGCTACAAGATCGAGTGATGTTCAAATATATTGGCCAACTTAGAAAAAAATGTGTGTTTAGAAGAGATGAGTTGTTTATGATGTCTTTCACAAAAAGTCGTATTTCTTGTTGCTCAATGTTAAGCTTTTGGTTTATTATTTTTTTATCTTGTAATGTTACATTAGTATTCTTTCCGACTTTCTTCGTTTTGACAATTGGCGTTGTCTTACGTATCACACGAGTTCATCCCCGAATTTTGTAGATTCGTGTTGCTCAGTCTTTAGTTTTCTAATGTTTGTCCTTTTGTCGTTTTTTTACTATGATATTGTCTGTTATAATTTGTTTTAATTGGACATAAGATTTTTGAAATTCCCCTTGGTATCTTCCCTCTCTTTTGCGGGCACACCTAACGTCTCCATAGTTACCTTGCTTGTTTTGTGTACAACAATAAGCGCCATAGCTTAAAATGACAAAATTTTGAAATGCAAAAAAACCCAAACAAATAACAAATTCCTTATACCGACAATAAGGAAGGAAGTTATTATGGAAAGGGTGATAACAATGTGTTGGTAAATTGGACTTAGATTGCTCCTGGTGCTGGTGGGTCCTGAGAAGAGATTCAGAAGCACGAGGTTTATGCAGTGTTGTTTCCATTCCTTTTACCCTTGTGCTTATGTTTTACTTGATTTGTGCTTTATCGAGAGAGTGTGTATACTATATACATAATTATACTGTAAATAACACTTATAATTTATGTTTGACGGAATATTTAGTCTTAACAATAGCTAAAGTATAATTTAACAATTATTAATATTTACCTGGGTTATGAACTGAAAATTCTGCCACTGAAATAAAGAAATTCTTCAAAATGTCTGTTGAATTGTTACTTTTGATATAAATATAAACTACGTCATAAAATTTGTTACATGACCGTCTACAAGAAAACGACTCTATTACCAGTTTTAATAACATAAAAATCAGTTTATGCTAAACAAATATCAAGCAATAGGCATAATTTGTGGCATTTTATATCGATGTCAAGTATCTTCGATTCCTTAAAGATACATACGATATTCAAGAGCTTGCAGCCGCTACACAGATTTTGTAAAACGCCACCAGTGTCTGAGCCAAAAATCAATGAGCCACGGTTTTGTAAAAGAACATCTGGTCATTTTCCCCAAAAAGTTCATCGGAAAGTAATAAGATCTAATAGACAAATATTTAATGTCTACAACGCGTATATTTGAAGATGGTCTTGAGTGAAATATTCTAGGAAATTGTGTATCTTTTTATTTACTTTACAGTCTTTCCTGTATTTGTCTTCGTACTTGATTTTTGTTCTATCGAGAGAGTGTATACTATATACGGTGTTTACTGTCGGCCACGAAAACTGTTTTTATCAGCGTCTTTGAAAATATAATATCAACTACAAAAACTTTTTTTTGGAGTATGTGTCAAATTTAATATCAATTTCAGCTACATTTGTTTGTTGGGGTCATTGTTAGATTTAATTGTGTGCTTGTTTGAACTTTGTAGTCAGTTGAGCTGTATGTCTGTAATGTATGTTTACACAGTTTTGGCTGCTGGATTCCTATTATTGTTACATTAACTTATTATGTCTGTTTGGGTTCCTCATCCAATTTTGTCAATTCAACAGAATTATAAACAACTGTCACACACGTTGGATGTTATGCTAGCTATAAAACCAGGTTTAACCCATCATTTATTCGGAAAATGCTTAAACCAAGTCAGGAATATGTTAGATGTTTTTCACTTATTCTGTTGGTTGATAACGTATATTAAATACAGAAGAGAAAATATGTTCACATTGATTTAAAAAAGATGTCGGTTTTTCGAGTCTGAATATTGTACTTATTTCATTTTCATCATGTGGATGTTTATCTAAGTAATTATTATAATTATATTAGAATTTAATTAAATGAAAATTAATTTCGTTTATTGAATTAACATATACGTGTACTGAGACTCGGCAAATCAAGTCGTCCTTTACTCTTATTGTTATGCTAATTTGAGCATGTGAGAGTTGAGCCGTAAAAATCCGTGCAATTTAACGGCCACTTTTACCTTGAAAACCAAAACGGAGAGGACGTTAAAAAATTTAGAGAAATATTACATCAAGATAAGTATAGATTGCATTAGATTATTTAGCAAGTCATATTTTAAATTTAATTCGGATTTAAAGATTTCATTTGTGTTTTTTGAAATAGTTTAATTAATTTTTTACTTCGTCGAATTAAATTTGCGGCCATGTGGTATTGAAAACATTTTTAAATGAATAATCTTTACATTGTTATACATGAATTGACTAAATATGTTTAATTACACATTTTATTTTATCGTTGATGCAGAACGTTAAAGTACACCTGCATTAATGCGTAAAGACAGGTAGGTGTGTGCTTACAGGTTAAATTATTGATAAATAATTTATCTATTTTACATGTCACAATTCTGATATACATATACCGGTGATAAATTCATTTAGATAAGAGACAATTTAAGGAATTATTGATTTAATTTAAAATAATTTAATCATTTTAACTGATAGATAGGAATAAAAACGAATACTGAAATCATTGCATTGAAACTGTTTTATAAATTAAATCAAGAGACAGAATAATGATTGCGTGATGTTAGTAAGTACTAAATTTTTAACCTATTTTGTTTATACAAATGCCTAGAATTGGTCGACGAAGAAATGGAAATGGGCGCGCACTAGTGCCTGTTGTTGAAGCGCAACCCCCAGAGAGACGTCGCGGAAGGAGAAATCGTGGTGTTGCTGCACCGGGAGTTCAAGAATTTGGGGCAGTTGTGGGTGAGGTACAAGCACCTGTTCCACTACATATCCAGGCTCCTATGCCAGTTGAAGGACAACCTGCCATGCAAGGTCCCGTTACACCAGCATTCAACAAACAAGCGCCATTTGCGCAAGTTGAGATACCAGCTCCTGTGCCAATGGCTTACCAAAATAGTGAGATAAATAATGATCCTATGCTTATACTCAATCAGTCAGAATGTGATGTTTACGTATTCCAAAATTTAAAAGAAAAAATATGGAATAGAGAATTTATAGATTTGTCATTACTTCTTTATCAAACTTTTATCAGTCAAATTGACAGACTTCAAAATGTTATAAGTTATTATAACACAGCCGGTTCACTTGTAATCACATCAAACAAAAACAGCAAAGTTAAATCTATTCAAAATATTGAGTCATGGACTGATGCATTTATAAATTATATGAAGATATTTATTCTACGTTTTCAAAATTTAGCTAGTGAATTGACCACTTATATGTCAATCATTAGAGGTACACAAGTGTGTTTTGAGAAGATTTATCGTTATGACCAGCAATTTAGATTAAGAATGGCAAACAATCCTACTAGATCTTGGTCTTCCATTGATGGCATTTTATGGTACACTGTCATAGCTAATGGGGAACCGGAATGTAATACAATTCAACAGGCAAGTCTACGTAATCGACCATACTATGATTTTAATTTTATGGGAGCTTGTTATCGACATAATTGTTTTTACACCCATTCATGTTTAAAATGCGGAATGGCCCACCCTTTCGCTGGCTGTCCACAACAAGTAAATAGCAACCAGACATATGCTCGTGTTCAAAATGCAGCCGAGGCACATATCAAAAATTGACAATAGATGAAAATACATGATATTTTTGTGAAATTTGGTTGCTATATAATTGTTAAATACGCAATATCGTTTATTTTTTGATTGTTTAAATGTTGTTAAAAAAATTGCTTATAGAATTGGATATAACTGAATTGTCATGGGTAAATTTTGTGGCGGATTATCATATTGTACTTATAGTCCGAATGATAATTTTGGCGAAATTTACTTCATTTTATGCAGACTATGGATAGCCCAGCTGCTAATTCTGAAATATTGCTAAATGGACCGCCCTTCAGTACACCAGCTTTGGATCGACCAGCTGTGATACAGTGTTTTTAATCGTCATCAAGATTTTATTGATTGACAAATATTTTGGTAGTGTACTGTTGTTGTAACAGTTGTTGTTGTTTGAATGGATTTTGATTAAATGTTGCCATGACAATTCAATATCCAAACAAAATCAGTGTTTGTTATTTGTTGTTGTTAAATACAAATCAAGTCATCAATGGTGTCTGTTCGTCAATTCTGATATTTGGTAATTTACATCAAGTGATTAATTTAATCAAATGATATATTCAATAAAATGTAATTATATAAGAAGTGATACTCACATATATTGATTGAACAGCTAGTGTTATGGCATATACAACCATTGTCTTCAACATCTTTATACGACTGACAAGGTTTTATTGCCTGAGAAAATTGTGTTTCGTTTATATTTATATAGAATTCCTCGCTATTTGTCTACAATTCTCAGTGTTGAAACAAGCAGTGAACGTATATCAAACATAGATAATAAAAGAAATATACTGATGATATAAGGAGTCCCTTTTGTCTGTCATTTAAGACGGTGTGTTGACATCTTTTTGGGGTTCGCTATTGTTGAATCATTGCCGTTTACCACATACTGCCAAAAATCTGGAGAAATACACTTATGTCTGTGCTTAAGCCTTATATCTCATCATTGTATATAACATCACTCTGATTGGCTGAAAACACGAAAGAGGGTTGCAATCAACTAATTAAAAGTTTACCTTAGTCGTGAATCGTTCTTACTTCCATTCTTAAAAAGAATTCGATATGGCAAAATTGATATTATGTATTTAACTTGTAGACTGAACACAGAAAACCGATGCATACTTACATTTATGACAAGACATCTGCTTGTAGCCACTCCATCATATTTCACAATATGACAGTACATCTAAAAAGGAAGAGGTGTTTATCAAATTATCTGTATTAGATATGTCATATTTGCATTTAAAAAGTATCTGGGTGATGGTAAAATCAAAATAATTAAATTCATTTAAGGAATGACTGTAATATTTTTTCTGTCTATGAAGAAATAACATCAAAAATGTGGTGCACACTGAATAACCCGCGTAGCGGGTTATTTCAAAGTGTGCACCACATTTTTTATGTTATTACGAATAAACAGTAAAAATATTACAGTCATTTCTTATAATTTAATTCTAAATTCCATTTTAAACCTGAGTAAACCATGAAAAAACGTTGATGACGTCACGGTCACATGACAAAATTATGTCTATGAGCTGATAAACAAAACAACGTCAGCCAATCAGAAGACGCGTTACATCCAAAATTGAATTATTAGCATAGAACGTTGAAGAGCCATAAATGCAAAATTAGCATGCTATAATTTATTGGATTTAACAATTTTTTTATCCGATGTAAAAGCAATATGGTAATATCATTTGAGAAACAAGGCATTAACAGAGCATGGATGTCCCCATACCCATTCCATGTAATATTTTATAGGAACAATTAAACGGGAGTAAATGCTGATGTAACTTTCTAGAATGATAAGACTATTATTTAATTCAAGATATTTATATTTTGAAGGACGTGTGAATAATTGACAACTAGAACTTTGAACATTTAACTAAATGAGTAGATATAATCGAAACTGAAATTCAATTTCTTTTCCAATTAATAAATTTTTAGTCGAATATATCAGAAAAGTTTCATCCTTCCATTTATGCTGTCTGTCATGGATTATAAATATTAAATACAAAGCAGCGACAATACTATGCCTAACCCTTTCAATTATCTGGGATACTTACATCGCTGCGACATAACTCCTTGTTACACAGATAGCCTGGCGCTGAAAACGCAAATACTCATTGTATAAAATTTTTTACTTCATAATTTTACATCAATTAATTGATTTGTGAGCATCTTGCATGAAATAAATTTAGCGATATAATATGGAAATATCATGTTCCTCTGAACATTCGAACGTCTATTTTGTTAGGATCAGATCGCTAAGTAAACTTTTAACCAAATAAGCATATGTTCCAAAGGCAATCAAAACATAAATAAAACAAATATGTTTTAAAATTGAGAATGGAAATGGGGAATGTGTCAAAGAGACAACAACCCGACCATAGAGCAGACAACAGCCGAAGGCCACAATGGGTCTTCAATGCAGCGAGAAACTCCCGCACCCGGAGGCGTCCTTCAGCTGGCCCCTAAACAGGATGCTTACCTGAAAGTCTCCAAAACTAAACGTTTGTGCTCCGGAAGGGTAAGAAGATCCTGCTCCACGTGTGGCATCGGTCGTGTTGTTCATGTTAGCGCAACCCGGTGATAAGTTTAATTCGGTAGGTCACATTCGGGGAAATAGGGACGGGATTGTAGTTACGACAATTGGAACATATCCGTTGTCACCTGTCAAACAGATATTCCATAAAGGTCAACCACCTTGTGATTGCATCCGTAAAATTTATAAAGGGATGATTTCAACTTTATTTTTTAATTTGCACATCTGATTCACGCCACCTCTAAATAGGTAGTTTCACAATAACTTTGAAGCCCAGCTTTGAATGCTGATAAAATTAATGTTAATAATTTAGAGAGAGGTTTCGTGAAGAACTTGGAAGACCCAGTAATATAACGTTGTTTGTAAGGACACTTATGTAGTAAAGGTATCCAATACAGTAAAGGAAGATCCAGTTCTTCCTTCTTGTTTGAAATTCTAAAGGAACATAGAACAAACCTATGCTTATCATATAGATAAATTTCCTCCTTGTAAGAGTCAAGGGGGTATATGTTGAGTTTCCAAGTAAATTGTCCATACCTAATTCATTTATCAAACAGTTTATGTTTTGCTGAGTGTAAATTCGCATTGCTATCAGAAGTGTCTCGGTATTTGTACATCCAACATTCATGTATTTAGGTATGATGTTCCATTTGTAATTCTGGTTGGATGTTGTTTTATGTCTTATCGTTTGTGGTTTTAATTTTATTTTTATTTTTCTTTAAGTATGTAAAAGTAAAGATATTAATCACCTAGTTCATTTAGAAGATTTTTAGGTTAAAATCATTTATATGCACAGGATTCATTTATTTTTTTATAGATTGATTTAGAAGAAAAACCATAATTATAAAATACAAATAATTACACCATTACTAACACAATTCTAGAATCATGTGCAAAACAGTGTAGGCGAGACCATTGATTGGCGCTCTAAAATATCCCATTGACTGGGTCAGATTAGGTGAACGTTCGTCTGTAACGCCCACAACTCACGACGTATTTATTATAGACATTTAAACTGTGGGGTCACCAAAGGGTCTCAACGCCTAAATAAAATAATTCGAAAAACTAATCAGGAATAACCTTTGTGTTTTGATTTATATTGAATACTTAAACGTTCTTTACTTGTGTTTTTGTTATGTTTTGATAATGAATTTTTATGATATCGGACGTTCTTTCAGCAAAAAAGGATTTAACTGGCTTTAAAAGTTACAATGGATGTGTTAATTATTATCTTTTTTTCGGACGTCAAAGCGATTTAACAATTGCGGTTGTCCAATTATGTCATCTTTTAACTTTTATCTGGTCAAAATTTTATTTTAGAACGAATGCATGATCAACTTTAAAAAGTGTGCAAACACAAAACATATAGACAAAATATAATACTTCTTTCCTGTCTTTTTCGTACTTGCAAGTTATTAGACAGTAAAAAGGCTATTTGGATCAAGCCTTATGAAATTTGCATTTACGTTTTTTGAATAGGTACAGTCAAGTTTAGCGATTGATAATTCATTGATAACATTCTGGCGTATCACAAACAAACAACTTGTAACGTCTCATTTCATTGGCCGAAAGATTTAAATACAACAACAATTGTAGTGTGCACGTGAATTGACACAGGTGACCGACAATGGAATGTACTACGTTACTACGAACGTAAAAAAACAATGATTTTTGGTCGAAATAATTAAATAAGTATTTTGTGAATTTCAAATAGTGGGGTCGAAATATTATACTAATAATTTGTGTTAAGTAATATTCTTTATGCATGCAGCACTTGTACCGCACTATGAAAAATATAAGGATAAAATAAAATACATGTGCGGCTTTATACGGATGAATGTATGAACCACTTTAATTTCTTTCATATTGACGCTAGGTTATTATCCTGACAATGTCGTAGTTACTTATAATAAGGATCTCATAATACTGATCCATTTTAAATTTATGATGGGTTGCACATTCCTCTTTTATTGTTTTCATGCTATAAAACGAAAATAAAGTAGCTAAGCGTTTGGTCATTCAGAAATGACGTGTCATAAACGAGCAAATTGTCCCCGAAAGATCGTATCATGTGTGCACGTGAATATAGATGTACTATGCAATGTACTATCATGGTCACCACGAAATTCAAATGAATTCAGTGAAGGCATGTTGGTGTAAAAAGGTTTGAAATGTTTCATCGGCGAAGATTTTATTTTTGCATGTGTGGAACTAAAAAATAAATAAATACTTGTGAGAAATGTCGTAGTTTATAAGGAACTATATAAATGTACTGTTTTCGACTTTAATTGGTTGAAAATTTATCCTTTAATTTCATACCGTAAGAAAAGAGCTTTGCATAACATTGTTGAACTATCCGCCAAAGTAACGTGTGGCATGCGTGCGTATTAAAATGAAATACAAAATCATACATGTATGATAAACTTATAAACAAAATATTAAGAAATTAAGGATGACTACTGTAAAAGTATGTACAAAAATGGAGTCACCTTTTATCAATACATTTAGTATTAACTATTTAAATATTTACAATATATAATTTTCAACCGAGGATAGCAAAACAGTTAATTATAAATTAAGAAAGTATATCGCTGGAGTTTATAAAGTACATTTCCTTCCACTGTGCCATGGTTTGCCATCTCCATTTTTTCTCTAAACAAAGCATGGCTGGTTACATGTTCTGAATTTACTTAGAATTTCGGGATTTTTTTTTCAAAATCAAGTAAACTAAATCAGAAAAAAAATCACACTATCCTAAAACTTATGAAAGAATATGAATAATGAACATGACAGTTTATAACACAAACCCATTTACTATAAAAATCGAGCAATATCTTTAGTATGTAATTTGGTTATTTTTGTAGTTAAGTACGGTTTCATTTCAAGTACAACGTTAATTCATCAAGTCCATTGGATAAAAGATAAGGCAGGGTGAGCAACTTGACAAAAAAAAAGGCAGGATGACGATTTATGTAAAAAAAATCAGGATAAACTAATAAATATAGTCAGGACCTAACAGACTGAAAAATAGACAGACAGGACAGAGATAACAACTAAAAAAAATGCAGGACAAAATGTTTCATCCAAGTCCCCTACCCCCAATCAAAATAAAATGATAGCTCCCTTAATCCAGAACCAATTGAGAAAAGACAGTTGAATTAAATATTTCGACGTGACTGTTAAGATTAAAGTTTAAAATTTTACATGCACATGTATAAAAGCTAGAATTGCCATGGGATAATCAAGAACACAATCATGTACGTGAATACTACGATGGAAGTTTTTAACGACCTTGACCGGCTACGTGAATACTGATCAGTCCATTCAGCTTTATAGTACGCGTGTTCTATTTTCGCAGGTGTGAGGTCGAAGGTTTGAATTGACCAATGAAAACGATCGTTCCTTAACGAGTTAATCTAATAAAGTTTGTTTGACTGATTATGTTGCACGACCATTCGCTAAGCTTGGCCGCAGTTCAGTATACAATGTATAGTTTGGTGATCTTTTCTGCTAACTACTATACTTGTGAAAAACCCTTGGCAACAGAAACATATTCAGCTTTTATTTTAATCGACCCAATTTACATAGTAATGGACGACTTCGTACATTTTATGATCGCAAATAAAATATGTATATAATATACTGTGCACTGTAGTTCGTATATATACTGAGACCCTTTGGCAACCCCACAGTTTAAATGTTTATAATAAATACGTCGTGAGTTGTGGGCGTTACAGACGAACGTTCACCTAATCTGACCCAGTCAATGGGATATTTTAGAGCGCCAATCAATGGTCTCGCCTACACTGTTTTGCACATGATTCTATATTAATGTTCATGTAATGGTTAGAAAATACATCAAATAACACCGTTACAAACTTAATCAGCTCCATTATCACTGAACTAGTATACATATTTGTTTAGGGGCCAGCTGAAGGACGCCTCCGGGTGCGGGAGTTTCTCACTGCATTGAAGACCCATTGGTGGCCTTCGGCTGTTGTCTGCTCTATAGTCGAGTTGTTGTCTCTTTGACACATTCCCCATTTCCATTGTCAATTTTAATAATCCCAATTTCATACTTTATTTTTTGAAATTTACCTGTGACGTCACCTTTCGTGGCGTGTGACTAACAGTTCATTATTCTATTGTGCTGTATTTGTGTTCTGTCGTAAATTAATTTTAGGTGTTCGTTGTTATTCTGTGGTTTACATGTTGAAATGGACTATTATATTATTTATTTATGTATTTCTCTGACCTGAATGTTCTTGCATTTATTTGTACTTTATTCCTGTCACGTAATGTTGTCATTTTAGCGGTATTTTTAACATTGCTATATAAGCGGGAGGTTTGGCTAGCCATAAAACCAGGTTCAACCCACCATTTCTTCTTAAAATGTCCTGTACCAAGTCAGGAATATGGCAATTGTTATCACATAGTCCGTTTTTATGTATGTCGGCGTTAGTTTTTGTAGCAGTTCAGTGTTTCTGTTGTTCCGTTTTGTTTCCTCTTATAGTTGATATGTTTCCCTCAGTTTTGGTTTGTGACCCGGATTTGTTTCAGTTAAATCGATTAATGACTACTGAACAGTGGTATACTACTATTGCCTTCATTTATGTAATGTGATTAACACACAAAAACGATAATGTTTTAGTCTTTATCTGCGAGGACAACTACATATTTGTCATGGAGGTAGGACAGATGTTTTGCAACATTTGGATCTTTAAAGATTGATAAAGCAACGGTATTCATAGACCATCTCAGTTTTTAAATTCTGATTTGTATCAACGACTTTACAGCCTTAATCCATACGAAAAGAGTATTCACGTCTTCTTTCACGCTTTTAACGCATTGCCTGGCATAATTCTCCACTGAGTCCATCAGTATTTTGAAGTTGTGTTTCCAGTTGATGGATTTAGGCTCATGATATTTCGAGCTATTTTTTTTATAACACATTTCGCAGAGAAGTGTTATTGACAATGTTCATGTCACCAGTAATAACGTGACAAGACGGGTTATATATGGATGGGGAACTAGCACAGGTGCAATCATGATGTTCAGACTTGAAGTATTCAATATTGAGATCCTGCATCACGTGTTTGTGATTGAAAATTTTAGTTGCAATAGGTTTGGTATAGCTATAAGAAATGATAGATACAGACTGATCTTTAAAGTAGGGAGATATTTTCGAGTGAACTAATTTATGATGAAGGATATTGCCTAGTTGGAGGCATCGTGACCTTTATTGGCATATCACAGTTTTAGAAAAGGATCCTTTTCTCCTTTACGTCTTTTCTAATACGAACTTTTTTGAAAAGTCTGTGACTTGCAATATCTAAGATGAAAGCTGTAAGTTTGTAATGGTTAGAATGGGGTTTGTAACAGTGGGTTAAAAAAAGTTGTACAGAGAATGACGTTTTGAAAGGGGTAATAAATAAACTTCGTGCGAATGTGATGAATACATAACGGCTTTGAAAAGGATATATATGAGCCTGCAGTCAATAAAACCAATTTAAAATGAGCTTCATTTTTTAATTTGAAACAAACTTTTTATGTACCTTTGGTATCTTCCGCCTTTTAAAAAAAACTAAGGATAAACTCATTGTATTTGATCGATTACATTCATTTAAATTATGTCTGTGGTTTTAAATTTATAAAAACAATCGTTTTGTATATTTCAAATATTTTGTAGTATTAAAAAATAGTATGTTGACTTCCTCACCCGATTTTGAGTATGAATATTTAAAATTAGAACACAAATATTCAATATGCACTACTTTGTTGAACGTTCGTTATGAATCTGAAATCCCCGGAGATTGAACTGACAAATAAATCTAATAAAGAATATGCTACAAACAACACCCAGTACTCTTTTTACAAAACAAACTCACCAAAGATCAATTCAAGTCTATGCTTCAATTCGAGAATCGTGAGTAGTGTTGAAATCTTTTCTGGTTTTTATCGTATGGTTACTCATTAAATAACGTATATATTTTCATTGATATAAATAGTATATCCATGTTATATCTAAAAAAATAATGTTAACTACGAAAAAGCACAAACTGAACCAAAAAAATATAACATATACATACGTAAATCAGGAACAGCTGTTGTAGGTGTATGCGTTGTAACAGTAGGTATTACTGTCCAAAGAAATCAATAAAATGTAAGTTGCACATAAGTATAACAAAAATTTACAGGGATTGACAAATTGGCTCAGTTTCAAGATAAAAGAATAATATCGGAGTATATGCTTGATAAATGAATCTTAACAAACGCAGTCAAAACATGATAAATTTCTCAACATACAAAACAAATCGGCTTTCTCAGCTTAAATAAAGGCAACAGTAGATGATAGCTGTAAGTTTGCAAAGGGTAGAATGGGGTTTGTAACAGTGGGCTCCAAAAATAAGTTGTACAGAGAATGACGGTTTGAAAGGGTTAATGAATAAAGCTTCGTGCAAATGTGATGAATACATAACGGCTTTGAACAGGATATATATGATCCTAAAATTAAACCAATTTAAAATGAGCTACATTTTTTAATTTGAAACAAACTTTTTATGTACCTTTGGTATCTTCTGCTTTTTAAAAAGAATAATTAAGGATAGTCAAATTGTATTTGATCGATTGCATTCATATAAGTTATGTCTGTGGTTTTAAAATTATAAAAACAATCGTTTTGTATAGTTCAAATATTTTGTAGTATTAAAATATAGTATGTTGACTTCCTCATACGATTTTGAGAATGAATAGTTAAAATTAGAACACAAATATTCAATATGCACTACTTTGTTGAACGTTCGTTATGAATCTAATTCCATGGAGATTGAACTGACAAATTAACTTTGATAATGAATATGCTACAAACAACACCCAGTACTCTTTTTACAAAACAAACTCATCAAAGATCAATTCAAGTCTATGCTTCAATTCGAGAATCGTGAGTAGTGTTGTAATCGTTTCTGGTTTTTATCGTATGGTTACTCTCTAAATAACGTATATATATTCATTGATATAAATAATATATCCATGTTATATTTCCCAAAACCATATTGTTAACTCCGAAAATCCACAAATTGAACCAAAAATTATATCACATATACATACGTAAATCAGGAACAGCTGTTGTAGGTGTATGCGTTGTTACAGTAGGCATTACTGTCCAAAGAAATCAATAAGAAGTAAGATTGCACATAACTATAACAAAAATTTATAGGGATTCACAAATGGGCTCAGCTTCAAGGTATAAGCTTCAAGATGTCAGAATAATATTTGATTAATCTACTTGATGAATGAAGCTTTACAAACACAGTAAAACCATGATTAATTTCTCAATAAACAAAACCAATCGGCTTTCTCAGCTTAAAGTCTTGTGCATTGCATTTGAACTATTACTGACCTTTTTTTGGCGATTCAAGAATATGAAGTACAGTGGGAATTAGTTCTTACATCTTTTAAGAACTGTCAGAATAATTTGTTATAGAAAATTTCTAACGTCCTAGAGTAGAATTGTCTGTATTCGTTTTGCAGTCGAGCTGTCATAATCTGTTCTAGAGTAGAACAGTTATAGATTTGAATTTCGAACAGTTCCCTGATCTTGATTTAGAACAGTTTTGGTCATTGATAGTAAGCTCGAAATATTTAGAAAAAGGATTAATTAAAAACTAAAAACCAATAGTTGCATTATTTTCTTGGTATAAAAATACTTAACTTAGTAAGATTTCGAAAATTAAATGACGTAAAAACAACAACAAAATAACAAAACGCTACACCAAGGGAATTAAAGTGATCCAGAAGGGTACGCAGTTTATGGTCCACTACTAGCATCCGTAGTGTTATTCATGACAAACTAAAATATCATTATAAGTCGGATTAAGATATGTCACAATAGAGGAAAAAGATGGTATTGTAGTTATGACAATTGGAATATATCTGTAGTCACCTGCAGTGACCAAAAATTCCATGACGGTACACCAAATCATGCTGGTGTGCGTAAAACGGGAAGGGATGACTTCAACTTTGTCATTTGGAAACCATTCTTGTAAGCAGTAACCGTCTATCAATGAATTCATTCCAGGAAACCCAAGGACTGGAACATCATATCAACTTTGAGATATAAACTCCAAAAGCAAGCTTTGTTTAAATGTTGCTACACAGAAATGGAAAGTTGATGATTAAAAACTTTTAATCCATGTAAATATTTGTACTAAACTTGAGACAACAGTAGTGTCCGATATTCAAGTTTCACAAATCAATTAAACAGAAACAAATGAAGTTAAAAACTAAAACTTTAAAAATAGCAAGACCGGGTTTGTTGACAGGATAAGCTTCTCTTGCTATGCATGCATCACCCACTATGGTAATGCATATGCAATTAAATATCATAATCGTAAAAAGGACACACAATCGGTCGATGTACAAATCAGAGGATTTTTCTGGTATCTAAAGATCCTAGACCGCAAAAACTTGTTGCTAAACCAATTCCTGATGGTGATAAAACTTGTGTAGTGTGGATTTTAGCCCTTCTTCCTTATAAGACAGAATGTTTTAAGGAGCACTCGTTAATGAACACAGATGGAGAGATGAAGCAGACTTTAAGCTAATTATAGAAAAACACTTATATACTGTAATTTGTTGATATTTGTAATTAAAAATTAAATGTTTCTATAGAATTACAAGATGTAGGGTACTTCGATTGTATGTTCTCTAACAAACCGTTGGAAAGTTATGATATCAGTATATGATACAGAACACGAGTGAAGGGTGTTTCACATAAACTCTTTAGCAGCTCGACTAAGGTCGTTGATAGAAAGGATAATAGAAGTTGATAAGACGTTTATTGAGTGTTTGGTTGATTTAGCACTAAAATATTGTTGTTATGAACACTTGTGTAATGTTTGGTACCTAGTAAGAACAGTGAGGGAGAATTCACTAGGACAAGCAGTATAAACAGTATAAGAATCAATTCGAGGAATAGATTACATTAACTGTATATGGAAATTTTGGGTCCTCAATGCTCTTTAACTTTTTACTTTATTTTGCTATTTACGTTTTTGGTTCATGTGTCACTGATAAGTTTTTATGACTGATAAATGCACACAAACTGGCAACACCATAAATGCACGTTTATTTGTCGGAAGAATAAAAATACATGTAAAAAAAAGTTACCTTTTGTTTACAATTATAAATTTTAGTTTCTGGTACAAAAATGTATTAGTTTCTTACCAATTTTATCTGCACAGACTTGAGATTCGCAGTGGCAAGGTAAATGTGCATGATTTAATATTAAAGGCTCGTGACAGCGATCTATACATTCATCGTCACAATCGTCCAACTGTAATATATACGTAAATAATAGAAAACAGATATTTGGGTACGAAAAAAAAAGCAATATGTACCTCTTAAATATGTTAGTTTCTTGAATTTTTCTAAGTTGAAAATTGCTAGTTAGGTTCTTAAATATTTCTTAAATGAAATTTGTTACTAAAAATAGTGACATTAATTGCCAAAATATAAGACTATCGTTTAAATGCATGCTCATCAGCCATGCAATTACTGCGGTTTCATTTGGATTTATACCACTTTTCATCGCTTGAAAGACTTTCAAAGTTTAGTTTTGAGCACAGCTGACGATAAAATAAAAAAATCTGTTCTGTCTTATTTTAACTATGTACATTCCTTTTACTAATAAATTGACGTCTCTACTGACGTTAAAGTCTTAAACAAGCTATAATCATTTGTATGAAAATGATATCACATGATAAGATAACTAGATATAGCGAAGATATGTCAATGAGAAAACTACATGGAAGAAATCCAAATTATCCATATATATATTTTTTCAACCACGCTTATACCATTTTATTGACTATTATCACCATGGTTATTGACAAGTTTTAAGTAGATCTGTTTAGAAATATTTAGAAATTAAATGTTTTAAACAAAACTCTTTGTGAACTCGTCCAAAGGAGTGTTATGACTAACAAATTTTAAGTAGACCATGATACTCTAAAGTGGTTACGAAAAAAAAAAAAAAAGATATAGGGTAAATTTGAGGAGTAAATCTACGCATCAATAAAGATGACCACTACAATGAGCATAAATATGTTTTGTCAGCATGATAAAGATGTATGAATAAAAAGATGTTACCTTAATAAACATACACAAATTGTCGGTGGTCAATTGCATCTTTGTCCTTCGAAGTACATGTATATTAAATTGCTCTTTTTAGTTGTCATAAACTTTGCACCATTTAAATCCCTAAACCAAAATCAGTAATTTCATGTTATAATATAGCAGTGTGCTCTTCAACAGTGCATCTCATTGACGAGCATCTGTAGGAAAGCAACATGTTGTCGAAGAACCTTTTAATAATAAGACAGATTACCAAATTATAATAGCAACTATATGGATAATTCGTAGAAAATAAACTAGCTTACCGAATAACACCTAGCAGCAAACTGACCATTATGTCGATAGATCTCACAACCCTGCAATGAAATATAATAAAGCTTTCCTACGCTTAACCAACTGTTATCAGTATTCCCTTACTTTGAACAAACATTCTTACTCATGAGATACAGTGCATAGTTATTAATAAAATGCGGAATTAAGATACAACGAGAAGGAATATGTTCACGATTGTTCCATATTGGCTCTAAAATTCTGTGAAATTTAACTTTAGTAATGTAAAAAAATTTGATGACAAAATATCAAAAGATATCTGACAAATACAAAATAAAAAAGCTCTTATACGCATTATAACACTTGTGATGTCATTATGACGTCGTAATTTTGTATCATAATGAAAATTGTAATTTTACTAATTTTGCCTCAATTTGTATAGTTGTTGCTGCAAAAGTCGTTTGTCACATGCAAGGACCACCATATTTTTTGTTAGAATGCGCATCTGACACATATACATCTTTTTATAACGATTTCATGTTAGTCAAAGGGTGTTGCCAATGCTTTTCATAACAAAATTGACACTACAAATGCGTAACTGAGTCTTTGCGCTTTGTACACAAATGAAAGATATAATTACTTTGTTATATTATATAGATACGGCTTGTTGGCGAAAACCTTAATTGTTAATATGACTTAATTAGACAATGTTGTTCTTTTGGCAAAATTCTACGAATATCATCAGATGGTGTTGAATGATATATCTTTTTTGTAAGCATTGCATGTAAAATGAAAAAAAATACTATAATATATAAAACTGTTTGACTAATCATACAACTTTTCACGGAAAGTTTAGTTAACAAATCGATAGGTGCCACTAGTGAAGGAGTTCCTACTGACGTTCCGATGTAAAGCTTAATTTTAGATTTTTGTAGGGTCCTTCATTTTTAATCTTTTGGGTTCTGAATAGAGTTTAAATATAAAAATAAGAAGATGTGGTATGATTGCAAATGAGACAACTCTCCACAAGAGACCAAATTGACACAGAAATTAACAACTATAGGTCACCATACGGCCTTCAGCAATGAGTTAAACCCGTATCGCATAGTCAGCTATAAAAAGCCCCGAAATGACAAATGTAAAACAATTCAAATGAGAAAACTAACGGCCTGATTTATGTACAAAATAATGAACGAAAAAAAAAATGAAAAACAGCAACATACGACAACCACTGAATTACAGGCACCTGACTTGGGACAGGCACATACAGAATGTGGTGGGGATAAACTAGTTTGAAGGCGCGCTAACCCTCCCCTAACCTGGAACAGTGGTGTAACAGTAAAACATAAGAACAAACTATACAAATCAGCTGAAAAGAACTTAACTCATCATGCATCTAAGTCTAAAATATCAATCAGTACATATCCAACCTCAAATGGATTTAGTGTAACCCAGCAAACACAAAACATTTTAAAAACATTTTTTTTGTCTCTCACAAAATATTTCAATAAGATATCATTTAAATCAGAGAAATGTTTATTTTATTGTTTTTGAAATGTTTTATTTCTAACATTTAGGTCAAATTTTTTTACAACATTTACAAAATATTATTTGCTAACATTTTTTATTCATGTTCTTAAATTCACAAATGGGCTCAGCTTCAAGGTATAAGCTTCAAGATGTCAGAATAATATTTGATTAATCTACTTGATGAATGAAGCTTTACAAACACAGTAAAACCATGATTAATTTCTCAATAAACAAAACCAATCGGCTTTCTCAGCTTAAAGTCTTGTGCATTGCATTTGAACTATTACTGACCTTTTTTTGGCGATTCAAGGATATGAAGTACAGTGGGAATTAGTTCTTACATCGTGTTGCCAATGCTTTTTATAACAAAATAGACACTACAAATGCGTAACTGAGTCTTTGCGCTTTGTACACAAATGAAAGATATAATTACTTTGTTATATTATATAGATACGGCTTGTTGGCGAAAACCTTAATTGTTAATATGACTTAATTAGACAATGTTGTTCTTTTGGCAAAATTCTACGAATATCATCAGATGGTGTTGAATGATATATCTTTTTTGTAAGCATTGCATGTAAAATGAAAAAAAATACTATAATATATAAAACTGTTTGACTAATCATACAACTTTTCACGGAAAGTTTAGTTAACAAATCGATAGGTGCCACTAGTGAAGGAGTTCCTACTGACGTTCCGATGTAAAGCTTAATTTTAGATTTTTGTAGGGTCCTTCATTTTTAATCTTTTGGGTTCTGAATAGAGTTTAAATATAAAAATAAGAAGATGTGGTATGATTGCAAATGAGACAACTCTCCACAAGAGACCAAATTGACACAGAAATTAACAACTATAGGTCACCATACGGCCTTCAGCAATGAGTTAAACCCGTATCGCATAGTCAGCTATAAAAAGCCCCGAAATGACAAATGTAAAACAATTCAAATGAGAAAACTAACGGCCTGATTTATGTACAAAATAATGAACGAAAAAAAAAATAATGAAAAACAGCAACATACGACAACCACTGAATTACAGGCACCTGACTTGGGACAGGCACATACAGAATGTGGTGGGGATAAACTAGTTTGAAGGCGCGCTAACCCTCCCCTAACCTGGAACAGTGGTGTAACAGTAAAACATAAGAACAAACTATACAAATCAGCTGAAAAGAACTTAACTCATCATGCATCTAAGTCTAAAATATCAATCAGTACATATCCAACCTCAAATGGATTTAGTGTAACCCAGCAAACACAAAACATTTTAAAAACATTTTTTTTGTCTCTCACAAAATATTTCAATAAGATATCATTTAAATCAGAGAAATGTTTATTTTATTGTTTTTGAAATGTTTTATTTCTAACATTTAGGTCAAATTTTTTTACAACATTTACAAAATATTATTTGCTAACATTTTTTATTCATGTTCTTAAACATTGTTCTAAAATATCCCGTAGATATTTTATAATATAAAAAAAATAATATTTTCTTCAATTGGTATTTCATATTGTTACAACATTTAAAGTAAATATTTTCCAAATATCCAAAAAACATTTTGCAAAAAATGTTTTACAGAAAATATAGTTTTGCTATTTGCATAAAATGATTTATAATGTAAAATTAAAATGATTTACATAAAACATCTGAAAAATATCAGCTAAATGTTTTCTATAAGATATTTTGACAAACACATTATTTAATAGTCTTACTGATATTTTATTCAACATTTTACGGATATAAAAATCACATTTTATTTAAACTTTATTGAAAACCCCACAAACAACGTTTTGTGGAATTAGCTCTTTTTTTTTCAGGATAAGATATAGTACTACATTTCATCAATATCATGACAAGCAAGATACTATACCGTTGAAATCCTTGATATCTTGAAGTCAGATTTTATTCCTTCTTATATCAAAATTAAGCAATAATGTATTAATAAACAATCACCTTTATTTAATGTTTATTCATTTCATCCGTGTATATTTAAGAAATTAAGAAATGAAAACTGTAACTGTACTAAGTTTCATTTTCGTATCGTTTATATGCATTACGGCAAACCGACCTTTTCCGGAATCGACTTTTGTTTTATCACCGGAAGTGATATTGAAATTTCAATTTTGAAACTAAAACAGATCAACAAAGAGAGCGAAGAAAATTGTTTGTTACGCGATATATACTCACTTGGTAAGAATGATTAATCTCTTTAGATGAAACTTGTGCATTCATATTGTGTGTTCAATCATAATCGGAACCAATACATCTGTTTCTAGAGGTGCGGATCAAGGTTTTGAAAAAAGGGGGACCCCTGCCCAAGGCAAGCAAACGATTGGAGTGATACTTGTAAATCGTCTTTGCATTTATCTTATATGTAGCTCCATAAGGGGGTCGGGGCCCCTAAATCCGCCACTGTTCTAGCATCTACGTACACCAATTATGAATTTGTTCATTGATATAAAACTAAGGATATGACATACATTTATATGTGGCTTGTGTGTTTGATTGCTGATACACCTTATCGCTATTTGTCGGCCATTACTGGACATCACAAAAGCTCCTGTAAAATGTTGACGTCATAATAGAAAATATTTGACACCACAATGGAAAGTAATACACCTTATTGCTATTTGTCTGCCATTCAATACTGGACATCACACAACTGTCACAAGTTCCAGTAAAATTTTGACGTCATAATAAAAAAATATCTGACGTCACAATGGAAAAGTGATTGTTGTCTGACGTGAAAAGTTCAAGCAGGACAGATTCTCGGGTCAAGCGGGAATAGCGATAAGGTGTATTATTGTATGACGTATGCTGACGTAAAAAGTTCAAGCTGGACAGATTTCCAAATACTGAAAAAGCTATAAGGTGTATGAGACATGCTATCCACCAGAATTCAAATGACTTGGATAAAAAAATTATAGGTCACTGTACGGCTTTCAACACCGAACAAACCCATACCATATAGTCCACTTTAAAAGGCCTTGATAAACAAATGTTAAATTTTTCTCAACACAATTGAAACAAAACAACTAACCGCCTACATTAAATACAAATGAAAAACAAATATGACAGACTTAAACCTACAACAACTATTCCAATAAGCATGACTCAATACTTTGTTCCGAGGCACACACACAAGTTACAATAACGCTTATATCAGCACCATGTGAATATGGAGATTTTTTTTTCTAGTAAAATCAGTGTATGTATGTATTTGCAAAACAGTAAATTAAATTTCCCTTAACAGCTTAATGAACATTACGAAGACTATGTAAGACTTCAGTACAAGCAAGATAATATAAACTGTTGTTTAAAATTATATTTATTGATTCATACAAACAATGTACATACAATGTATCTTTTATTTTTTAACAGGAGCTAAAAGAAAAGCAACAAAGGATAAGTTCAATATGCATGATATGCAGGTTTACAATTTGGAAGTGGCGCAGGTTCTTTGGAATGTCTACAACCTTTCAGGAGAATTTTTTTTTTCAAGTAAGATTTTCATACAGAATTACTGTTATTCCATATTTAATTAAATATTTAGCATAAACAATACATTACATTCAAGATTAAGGGCATACAATACAGTAAAGATATCCGGATATTTGAATAAATTATTTTGTTTGTGACAAAATAAAAACAAGTTGTTTATTTAAATCAATCTTTAAGTCCAACAGTGTGCTTTCATAAACAACATATTTGCTTTCCTTTGAAGTATTTAAAATACATATAAACAACTCATTTAATGACATCTGTGTGTTTCTTGGAAGTTAAGTTATATTATTATCATCATTGCGAAAACAATGCGTAACACTTCGATAAGTTTTTTTTTTTTTTTTTTTTTTCATCTAAAAATATCTTTATTGCACTTTTCTTTGCTATATTGACAAATTACTCGACCTACAGCAGTTGGCCGAGTATCCCTGTGAATTAGTCACTGAATAACCAGGGAAATTACCCAGTGAATTCATATTTATAAATAGTTAGTTAGTTTTACAACTCATACTTAATACAAACATTTTTGGAAAATACATGATCGCATGATTACGGAAAATGTACAGTTTTGTCCGGTTTTGTTTCTAAGTATTAGAACTTTATGATCATTGACCTTAACCTTTTGTAAAGAACCGTTAATCAGTTGTCCTGATGAATTCATGCGTCTTATTGATTGTTCTCGCAAACAGCTTAAACTTTAATTAAATATTGGAAGTGGTAAGTTTTGGAGTCGTAAGTTAGATACAACGTTCTGATTGAGCCGTCATGTAATAAATTATGCGCATATGAGTATGGAGACAACTACTGTACTTTCGTTTTCAGTTAGCATGCTGTTTTAATTTCTTACCACGTGTTCAGATCTATTTAATGCATACATGATGAGATTTTACACAAGTTTTCGTATATCTGAAAATAGTAGATTTCTAGCTATTCATGATCATATGTATTCTTTTATATCATTTAAAAATTTACTGTTTTTAGCATTAATGAATTTATTAATTTCGTATGTATTCAAAACTTCATTTCTGAAAACTGCATACGCATCTATACCTTTTTGTTTATAATTTGATATATGAGTACTTTTATGAATTGAATAGATTAAGATAGTTAAGAAAAGATTTATATCATGATACATAGGATCATGTATTTTATAGCCCGAAACTAAAGTTTTTATATTAAATATATGTGACCCTATCTTTGTTTTGCTTACAAGCGCATATACTTTATTCCAAAATTCATGAAAGTATTGACATTTGAGAAAAAAGTGTTCGTAGTCTTCAATCAAATTACACAGGACACACATACTTGTATCTTCTATGTTCCATTGTTGTAGTAATTATTTACATGGGAGGATGTAATGGAGCAATTTCCATCTTAACATTTTATATTTGTTATTTATTAAATAAGAAAAAGTATATTGAAGCATGTTACTTATTGGAGTGATTGATTCTAGCTTGAAGATGTTTTTCCATTTAAAGAATCCTATAGGTCTCTCGTCATTCTTGATATTCAAATGGTTGTATATTTCTTTAGATAACATTTTTTCAATTAGTTTAGTTGTTCTGTTAACAGTCAATGACAAGTTTAAATTTGTTTTTACCGAAGTTTTCATGGATATATCAGATTTTAATGTATTTAGCCATTGTTTTGGAATTGAATTTTTCAATTTTGAAAGTTCTGAGATCCAATTAGGTTTAAAGGTTAATTTCTCCAATATAACTTTTTGTGAAATATGCCCTTTATAATCAATAATATCATTGATGTAAATAATACCATCTTTTATCAAATTAAGATAAACTAAACATTTTCCTTCAAATTTTATATTTTTGTTACCCCACAACATTTGCTGCCTAATATTTTTAAAGTTTGTGATTGGTGTGGTACTTGTTGGTGTATTATTTGCTTTGTACCAGCTCTTTAATATGTTCAAGTAAAATGAGGGTAATGTGTTACTTAAATTGGATATTGAGTTTATGTTGTCTGGCATCATATGAAATATAAGGTTGTTTTTACCAAATTTGTTAAAATAATATGTTGGAATGACTTTCCAATTAGCAAATTCTTTTGTAGTTAATCGTTCGATAAGTTATTATGTGCCTATAGTATACTACTAGGACTGTATCGTATGCCCTTAGATACAAATGACAAATTATAAACTGTGTCACTCTACAGAGCCATTTATCGTCCCCTTCCGACAGACTATCATCGTTATTTTTTGTTCAAAACTTTAAAGGGGAAGGGATGTTTATCCTTCAGGCAACGTGAATCGTTCTCTAATAAAGGAATGTGCAAGAAGTTTATATATGAATGTAAGATTTTGTTTTTCTTTCAGAAGCATGGCACAGCAAGAAAAAGATATAAGACACTACAAGACAATCTAAGTGACTTTGAATAAGACAATTGATTGACTTTTTCAATGTATTCTTAAATAAATCAAATAGTTGATGTAAAATGGTGTTTTGTTCTCATCTCTTAAGCCAATTATCAATGATTATTGACTTAAGATGTTACCCTATTAGAAGTGTAAGGTTTAAGTTTAGAAAGAGAAGTTATATTGAAAAATCTGAATTTGGGACACAAGTTTTAATCAATGTAACTTCAACTTAAAAATGTGTATAATGTTTGCATAATGTCCAATGGCAAATATGTCATGCATGTTCAGGTTGACATATGCATGATGTGTATAAGATAAGTAATAAAAGTTGAGAGTGAAAAACTAAACATTATACCATTGTGGTAGGAATGTGGGCTTTCTTGCACTGTCTGTCGTCTGTCCACCTATATTTGTCGGATTTTGTCCAACAAATATTTTCATTACTGTTTTTCCCAAAACTGCTGATCAAGATGAGTTCATATTTGATGATCTGCTTGATAGTGATGAACTGTGATGTGTGAACGTTTTTGTATCTGGCACCTGTTTCCTGTTTGCTTATACATTGTATTTCAAAATGTTGAATGTTCTCAAATTTTTCATTACTTTTATTAGTAATGCTGCTGAACAGAATGACTTCATATTTGGTAAGTGGCTTGACTATGATGAGTTGTGTCTGCCATGTTGGTTCTTGGTTTTAGATACTTTGAATTGTGAATTTTCATATGCTTAATAGCAAAACAACTGATTTATTCTTGTTTGTATATAGAATGAATCACTGTGTATAAATTAAACTAATAATTTGTTATTTAAAAAAGCAGCAAACTCAATCAAAAGTACAGAAATTTTTATATTGATATGATCTAGATATCAACCAAAAACATCTTCTTAAAACATTTTGAAACATTTTTTTAGGCACAGTCTCACTTGAAAGAAAACATCCCAAAAACGTTTTTATAACATTATTTGATGTTCATGATGTTTTTCAAACGTTCAGAAAATATTTCCAGAAAATATTTTTTAAACGATTATCAAAATGTTATATTTGCCATTGGTTTTCACATTATCATGACATTTCTTGACAACATTTTAATTATGTTATGCAAATATTTTAGAAAATATATTAGAAAACGTTTTAGCGATATATATTCTACCATACATTTTATGTTTTTCTCACGTTCTTTTGTGATATTTTCATGACATTAGACACAACATTTTAATAACATTTTAAAGATGTTTTTGTGTTTGCTGGGAAAGACATCATTAACAGTCAGAGATAAATATGACCTTGTTCAATGCCAAGATACAGGTATCGACAGATTGTAGAGCCATGAATCTTCATATGTATATAAAAATAATATTTAGTTTGATTTTAATTTACTGATAACAAAATCAATATATTAATACCAATAAAAACAATATTCAATGATCTAATTATAGTGTTAAATTGGTAACCTTATAGAATAGTTTATTTAAAGGATCGATAAGTTAACCCGGATCGTATCTAAATTTCCGGGCTCGGTAAACAACATCTCCGTAAAAATTAGTATGTGCTATCCCGTAAAATATAAGTTTTCTACAGGTACAACCAAACTTCTAAACCAAATCTTTATATCTATGGAAGGATTTAGTAAAGGTTTTAAGTAATTTGGGGTAACTAAATCCCTGCCTTAATAATTTATCAGTAATACATAGATCACGTTCATTGAAATCCAAAACGTCACAGCAGACACGGGCATAGCGAACGAGTTGTGATATATAAACACCGTAAGAGGGTGCCAAAGGAACCTCAGCGTCAAAAAGAGGAAAATTAACAATAGGAAACGAAAAATTGTCCCTTTTGTCGTAAATTTTAGTGTAGAGTTTCCCGTGTTAAACTTAAATATTTAAATCTAGGAAAGGACAATTATTATCGTTTATATTTGATTTATTTAGTTTCTTTGGGTAAATTTCGGCAGTATATTTAGAAAATTCTTGATTATTTAACGAAAAATGTCATCAAGGTAACGATAAATGTTGTTGAATTGATCAATTAAATGCAATTTAGACGGGTCTTTACTGAGTTTGACCATTTACTGTGATTCATAACAGTACAAGAACAAGTCTGTTTTTAAAGGGGCGCAATTGGTGCCCAAACGAATATCTACAACCTGTCGATAAACTTTATTGCCGAAACGTACAAAAATTATTATCATTGTTTTTTTACCGCTTTTTCACATTTGTTTTCACAAAAGTGTTGTTTATCTTTCTTTACAATTTTTGTTATTATACTGCCTTTTTCGTTTTTTACCTTTTGGTTTTTTCCTTTAACATGTTTTATGTTTTTGGCTTTCCCAAACGTTTTGTCAGTAGTGCACATCGTGAAGGTTATTGTCTTGCGTTCATACATTTAATCAAAATGCTGTATTGCAGTATAAGTTTCAGTAAATCAAATCAAAATGACAGTAAAAATTAATTTGGCTAAAGTTTGTCAAAAGTATATCAAAGAGACACACATTTGTTAAGTCATATTGGAAATTGTCCTTTTTACTTGTCCAACAAATCAGGTCAGGAACCGTCTCTAAATTGAGATAAGCTGTGAGTGTTTGAGCACTTTAAGGGCTGTTCTTTTGGATTTGCTTTTTTCCAAAATTTTCTCTGTATAAATAGCAAATATCATCTGATTAAAAGGAAACCGCTGACGTTTTGTTCTTTTCTACCATTCATGATTTTTCTATGATGTTGTTTATGATGTGCGTTTCAAGTATAGAAAACGTGTATTCTTCTTTGTTGTTTCCAGCTAAAACAAAACTCACCTGTGTTGGTTTACATGTAACACCGAGGCAATGGAGAGCTGTGAACACAAAAAAAAACTCTGCTTAAAGTCTGTTGATTATATCAGAATCACAAAGTATTCTAACGGATTGTTTAAGTAGACGATATGTCCAAATATAGTTCCTAGAAGTGTGCCCTACTGGCTAACCCGTTATTAAAATCTCGTGAAGCAGAATTTATTTTTGAAATTCTATAATGCACACAAGGGGGTTTAGCACAATATTGAAATTTCACGTAGACAATTTGATTTTGTCCTAACACTAATTGTCTGGTTTGTTATCAGTGCGTATTTTTATCACAAATTCACAACCACTGTGAACATTCAATATGGACTCTTCAGACAATATACAGAATGATTCATATTCAGACTTTTCAAAGGATATTTATACTGACAACAGGTAACTATTGTCTATGACAGTATTTTTTAAGGGTTTGTTTTATAAAAAAAATCTATTCTTAATTATTCGAATTAGCATCTGTGTTAGCTGTAATGTGTATGAATCGCAGGTATTATAATATAAGAGGCACACGAGTTTGACGATGCTCAAATCTCATAAATCTCTTGTTTATACATAAATTAAAACCACTAAAAAGAAATCGTATGAACTCAAACAAAGCGATACCGGCTACATCGAAAGGATAAGCGTTTATTGTCTATCATTCTTCAGCAGCCATGCAAATCAAGCATCAGTTGAAATGTCATAATAGAGAAAAGGATAAAATCAATAAATTAACGATTAGACTACTATTCTGGAATCTGAAGATCAATCACCGCAAAATACATGTCGTTTGTGATTTGAGACATTGAAATATCGTATTGTTCATCCAATTCATGTTGGTGAGCGTAACGTAGTATCGATTTCAGTCCCTTTCAACACTACCCGGTTGGAGCAGATTTTGTGTCAGGAGCATTCCGTTGTAAATAAAGTCCGTATAATGTTAAAAAACGTAATTGATCAACTGAGATATGTAAATGCTATACGACGGGGCAAAAGGTATTATTCTACTGAGAAATGGGAGTTGACAATGGGAAAGCTGTCATTACGTTTATCAGAGATTTCAATTTCGTCTATCTGCGTCAATAAAAATAATAAGATCAATATTTGAAGCAGATGTTCTAGTTCCGGTAATAGCCATAATGTCAAGTTCACCGGGAAAATGAGATGCAAGCACTCACTAAAATGCAAAAAATACCTGGGTTTTGTTACAAAGGACATTTAACCAAATTAGGTTCCCAAACAAACTTAATTATGAATTAGAGACAACAATAGTTACTCGATATTCCAATCTCGTAAATAAATTTACGAAATATTTACAAATCAAGATAAAAACATCGCATGAACTCCAAACGGACCGAGACCGGCTGCGTCAATAGAGAAAATTTGAGGACAAACAGTAAATTTACAGAGTAGATTACTATTGTGTATACTACTACAGATACAATGCTAATCTGAGACTTCAAAAACATGTCTTTTATGAGTAGGGACACACAAACATCCCATTGGTTAACCATTTCGTGATACAGATTATTTTTCAGTCGTTTTTCGTCGTAACCCTGTTGGATCAGTATTTTTGGCATCGAAATCACATCTCTGTTAAAAACTGAAGGTTCTACGGCCGACATTTTGAATGGGTGTTTAACCTTTTATAAGACTTTAATTACGCATCACTTCCGTTTCAATATAATAGAAGGACCACATTTTGTTATTCTGTTTGATACATTGTAACTAAATATTTTTGTCGAAGAAATTTCTGTAAAATACGTATCTTTACTTCATCAAAAAGCATAGCAGTAAAAGACACATTTGTTTTACTCGTTTATACTTGTATCGAATCGGAACCACGAGTTTCAAGTGTGAGAATATCAAAGTAATTCTAACTAAAATTGAGAATGGAAAGTGTGTATTATGTTCCTGTCATTGCAACCAGAAAAACACAGTGTAATTACATACGTAATAATTGTTTTTTTCATACATTAAACAGATCTAAGCGAAACCTTTTCAGTTGTTAGACAAGGTAACAAAAGTTTCAGAAAAAGTGCAAAATTTGGAAAATGTAAATTGATAATGATACAGAAAAAAGAGAGACTTACCTGTATTTTGCACACAATCAGCTGTATGACAATAACAGCCATGTGATATAACAGAATCATGATTTAAACAAACTTCATTAATATGGGGCTGAAATAAACATATCGAAGATAAGAGTGAAAGCTGTAAGTAGCCAAATATTTAAAATTGACGAAACATGCGTAACAAGGAATACAT